GTGGTTTAGGGATGTGAGAGGGAAAAGAGTTGTAGGCTTGTCTGCCCGGCATTCATTGGCATCGTGTTGTTCTAGAAAATAACTGCTACATCAGGCACATCCCCCTCGCTTAAAAATTTTTTAGTTTTCTTCAGGTTTCTTTGTTGAAGAAGACATACAGTAATAATTGGAAGTATGACAGTTTTGCCTGTGGCAATGCTTGTGCCAAATCACTGACATTTAAAAAAGACAGGTCTAAGAGTTTACTTCTCTGTTTTTTTAAAACACTTATGCAAAGGCTGTGGTAACATGATTAAACTAGTATTTCATATTTGAAACCAGTCAGTAAGTTCAGAAGATATGTAGTGAAGACTGAGATTTCTCCCTTGTTGTTGTTTCTTTTTTTTCTTTTTTTTTTTTTCTTTTTTAAATATACACAGGTTAATATTTATCGGCTAGTCACAAAAGGATCAGTAGAAGAAGATATTCTTGAAAGAGCCAAGAAAAAGATGGTGTTAGATCATTTAGTAATTCAGAGAATGGACACTACCGGGAAAACTGTACTACATACAGGCTCTACTCCTTCAAGGTATATTTGTATTTATTTCCATATCAATTTACCCTTAAGTATATTTGACAAGTAAGTAAAAATGCAAGTTATTTTACTTGGTAAATGAAAGGCAAAATAAGGTTAAATAAGTAAAGATGCAAAGGATATTGTCTTTGTAGATTTTTATTTTCATATTAAATATATATTAAAAAATATATAGTTTTTATTTAACAGTAAAAAGAAAGTTTAATTGACTCATGATTATAGAGAACTTTTTCCAAGTTACTAAGATAAAATGTTTTTCCTGAAACATCCTTTATTTCAGCTCAACACCTTTTAATAAGGAGGAGTTATCAGCGATTTTGAAGTTTGGTGCTGAGGAACTTTTTAAAGAACCTGAAGGGGAAGAACAGGAGCCCCAGGTAAGTAGTGTGTCTTGACTGGATAGATAAAACAACTGAAAATATATATGAATTATTTCATTGTAAAGAGAAACTTCTTTTTTAGGAAATGGATATAGATGAAATCTTGAAGAGGGCTGAAACTCGGGAAAATGAGCCAGGTCCATTAACTGTAGGAGATGAGTTGCTTTCACAGTTCAAGGTATTGCTCTGTTCCCTCCCTCCTGCCATAATTATACTTTCCTTTATAAACAGTACTATTCTTCTTTTGTGTACCTATCTGTCTCTTCATTCTTATGAAATAGAAGCCTCAGTAAATCAACTCTTATCTCTCTTTCTAATAAAATGTCTTTTCACCTATACAGTATACCTGCTATTAGTATAAACATTTAAAAATACATTATATAATTTGCTAATAAAATAAGAGATATTTATGAGTGTGTTAATGATCAGAATTCTAGGTAGCTTTGTTCATTTACTGCCTTTGTTAAGCAGCTGTGGTAGCGTTGAATGCAAAATATAAAGTTTGCATTTCTTAGTTGATGACTTCTACAAATAGCTTTTAGCCCTGAAGTAAACTTGAATGCCAGGTATCTTAAGCATTATCAGTTAAACATATTATAATTTGGGTGCAAAGAAAATGCAGGCTATGATGTATTTGTTTTGATCAGCAGATTATTAAATAGCTGATCTCCTGCTGCAGAACGATTGTTCATTTGCTATATATTTTGGTTTCCACAGTGTATTAATATTTGGTTAGTTTTATATTATTATAGTTTCACATTAACTCAGGCATTCAAATGTCATTAGCCCTATTTTGAAGGACATCATCTGAACAATCATACAGCTATCAGGGAGGTGTTTCATTGTGCATTTGTATTTAAAAGAAGAAAAGGATTCTCATCTTTTCTCATCTTAGCTCATGTTGCATGGAATCCGTGTCTGTTTCATAAATGAATAAAAATACTTTCATTAGAGACAGTGTTTCATGAAGCAATTTGTATGGATAAATTTCATATGTACTACAAAACAATAGCATATATATAAAGACATAAATATATAAATGCATAAAATATACTATTTTGAACTTTGTTTTCCTAAAATACTAGTTGCTCAGTCTTTTTCAAATAAAGTCATGTATTGATTTGATGAAAATACATATGTTCTGATACACAAGGTGGCCAACTTTTCCAATATGGATGAAGATGATATTGAGCTGGAACCAGAAAGAAATTCAAGAAATTGGGAAGAAATCATTCCAGAAGTCCAGCGGCGAAGAATAGAAGAGGAGGAAAGACAAAAAGAACTTGAAGAAATATACATGCTCCCAAGGATGAGGAACTGTGCAAAACAGGTGACTCTTGGTTCTGACTGACTTGTACTTTATGTTGCTGTTGGTTTAGTTTGTTTGTTTGGAGGTTGTTGTTGGGTTTTGGTTTTTGCACTGGTTTTTTGTTTTGATTTTGGTTTTTTTCCCCCTTTTCTGAACACACGTTTTTGACAGGCTAGGTAGAACTTTACTTATGTTCGTTAATCATATAGCTTTGAACTATTTATTCTCAAATTCCAGATCAGCTTTAATGGAAGTGAAGGGAGGCGCAGTAGGAGCAGAAGATACTCTGGATCTGATAGTGACTCCATCTCAGAAAGAAAACGGCCAAAAAAACGTGGAAGACCACGCACTATTCCTCGAGAAAATATTAAAGGATTTAGTGATGCAGAGATCAGGCGGTAAGATATGGGGCGACATATATGTTTAAAGGGACAAGACAATTTTTGAAATTATTATTATTATTATTATTATTATTATTATTATTATTATTATTATTATTATTATTATTATTATTATTATTATTATTATTATTATTATTATTATTATTATTATTATTATTATTATTATTATTATTATTATTATTATTATTATTATTATTAAGCTTGAAAGTACAGAAGGCACTTTATTTTTCCTGAATTTATTTGAAATTTTTTTTATTCTAGGCATTTAATGTTTTATGTTGTGTACTTTGTGGTGCTGACATAGTGAACTGTCATGGCAAGAATTTGAACCCATTTTAATGAGGGATAAAATTAGGTTTGAAAAATATTTTTGATTGTTTCAAATTTGTTAATTCCTGCAACTCATGAAGACAGTGATTTCAAAAACCAGTTGTTCCAGTGGGTGAGCTTTTCTTTTAACATACAAGGAAAATAACCTGCTTCCCATCATTTTATCTAAAAAGTGCAGTGCTGAAAGAATATATGAATCTTTGTGGTGACAGCTACAAAAATTTGAATAGATTTTGTTTTCTTTTAAAGTTCTTGATACTGTAGTTGAATTAATTTTATATCATGCTTTTTTAAACTAAAAAAATATAAAATCCTATTTGAATCTTGTACAGCAGGTCCCTTCCATACTTGGTGCTAAAATATTTTTTAGAAGGAGGAGAAATTGCTTTTTGTTTTACCTTTTTGGGTTTTTGAAATGCTACTTTGCTTCTGAAATTTAAGTATGTATGTTTCTCTAAAATGCTGTAAAGCTTTCAAAATATTTTTGGTTAGAGAAATAACTTCAAAGATCCTTTTTGCCTTTCCATTTCATCTAACAACATAGTGAATTGGTACTTTTTTCCAAGGCTATTCTTGTGCTTGTACTAGCAATTTGAGGCTTCGATTATTGAGGAAATTTTCTTTCCTTTTTTTAAAATTATTTTTATTAATTTTATTTTTATTTTATTTCCTTTCTATCCTGGCTATCTCCATTTTCTTTTTATCACTTACACATTTTCCAAAATCTTCAAATCACCTGTTACAGATTGCTCCTTTTACTATATAAGGCATAACATAACATCTGAAATCTATATTTACTGTACATCCACATCAATTTTTTATTATTAGACACGTTCAGCTGCTAAATCTTCTTTTTTGTGACATTAATAAAGCAATTTCTGAAATAAATCGTACCTTCTATTGTTTTATTTACATCAGTTCTTAAACCAATAAAAATCTGGCTTAGTTTGCGGTATCTGGATATACTAAGCTGCCCTACTCTCTCTATTCTCCCCCCCCCCCCCCCCTCGCTCTCAGACTATACAGTTGTCCATATAGCATTATACTAAGATTAATAATTGTATTAATACAATTTTAAAACCAATGTAGTTAGTTAAGCATACACTTAAATGGCAAAATTATTTTCTGTTGCTAGGTTTATCAAGAGTTACAAGAAATTTGGTGGCCCTCTTGAAAGGTAAACTTGTTTGATTATTATTTGTGTAGCAACTTGGAACCTAGTCTTCATAAAAATTAGAACAATATACCAAGAAACCTCAGGCTGGAGAGAAAATACAGTGTATAGTCTTTTGCCTTTGCTTGAACATGACTTTAGCTTAATGTCTTCCATTTCTTCATGTATGAGATGTATGCAGACAGGCACACAAAAAACTTTTCAATTTGCAGGACTACTTACTCTCTTTCTTTGCATTTTACCTGCTGTCTTTTTTAATCTTCATTGGTGATAATCATTCAGTTGTCTTGTTTGATAGCCTGTTTAAAGCCTATCAGTTTTCCACTGTGACTGTCAAAGTTAGTTTTGCATTTTCCTTGTTGTCAGTTCTTATTTTTAAGTTTTCTTTATTATTCCATATTTTAAGAAAAGCTTCCCACCCTTACTTTTCCTGAAAAATACTTCTAGTCCTTATGAACATAGCACATATAATGATTCCTTTTCTTTTTTTAAAGAGATGTACAGTAATTTAACTCAAAAATGTAGGGTTAGGATCCTTTACAGTTTTGTTGTATTGTCCTCTGATACCTGAATCACTTATTTTTTTCTTGGATCAAAATTGTACACAGCATAGCAAGTGCAGATGGCTGACAACTTACATGATCATTTCTCTAGTTTCAAAGTCTGAAGGAGTCATTCACAATTAGTAAAGTTTCAGAGCTATAAAAATGTGTATTTGTTTTATTACAGGTTAGATGCTGTAGCTAGAGATGCTGAGCTAGTTGATAAATCAGAGACAGATCTTAGACGTTTGGGAGAGCTTGTACATAATGGATGCATTAAAGCTTTAAAGGACAATTCATCTGGACAAGAAAGAGCAGGTACAAGGTGTTCAGGGGGCTTGGGGGACAAGAAAAGATGTCAAGAAGTCTGAATTATTCTTGCACTCTGATGATAACATAAAACAGTTTCGTTGGGGAAAAATACAAACAAAAATGTTGGCATGCTAGGTGATTTTTAAAAAGTTATAGTAAGATGACTTCTTTTTTTTTTTCCCCTTTCTGTGTGAATTGTCACTGGAGAATGCAGTATGTTTTTGCTTTACTGTGAAATTTGAAAGTAATTGTTATTATCTGGAAGACCTTTTGATTCTGGAGCTTAGTTCAAGCATTTGGTTAAGAAAAAATCATTTGTATAATTGAAAATTTGCTGCTATAGCATCAATCTGACTTGTTTTCTTTACATTTTCCTGTATGATATTCATAAAGGTAAATACTTTAATAGCTTTGTCATTGATTTTTAAGGTGGTAGACTTGGGAAAGTTAAAGGCCCAACATTCCGAATATCAGGAGTGCAGGTGAATGCAAAGCTAGTCATCTCTCATGAAGAAGAGTTGGCACCATTGCACAAATCCATTCCTTCAGATCCAGAAGAAAGAAAAAGGTATTGATTTTTTTTTTTTAAAGGAAGTAGTAATGTAGAAAATTTTCAAGTTTTATTAACTTTTTTCAGACAGCTGACTCAAAGCACATTATGACAGCGTTGTCCCTCTATTGTCTGTAAGGACTGGCAGCAGTTACCTGCGCCATATCTATTCTTTCTTCCCTTGCCGTTGGAGCCAGTACCAGCTTTGGCTTTTCAATTATATTCACTGGGGACTGTGTTCTGTTACTAATAATGACTAGAATTCAGGCTTACTGAGGAGCTGCTGTGTGCGTCATCTCTGCTTGAGGGGAAAGCAGTATCTCAAAGCGCAGCAGTAGTTGTTTCTATCCTCTGAACTTTTTCCCTTGCCACTTTGTGTATCACAATCCCTAAACTGTCCACTTAGTTAGCAGTTACACTTGGATGATGATTTATGCTTTCATTCATGGTTAGCCAACTCTGTGACGCAGCTCATGGCCACAGACAGATAGATGTCTGTTTTTCTTCATATTTTAGTCTTGATCAGCTTTAAAACACATTTCAGTGCTGATTTCAATAAATATTTTATAGAAATGTTAAGAAAATACAATAAATATTTGGATTCATTTCGTAAATATACCAGCATCTTAGAGAAAACAGATCTAGTTATATCACTTTTAGTGTGTTCTCTTCCCCCTTGCTAAACTTCAGAAGTGAAAATCCCTTATTTGTCTTTCTAATTTATTTCTGCTAGATATGTCATCCCATGCCACACCAAAGCTGCTCATTTCGATATAGATTGGGGTAAGGAAGATGATTCCAATCTGTTAATAGGCATCTATGAATATGGTTATGGCAGCTGGGAAATGATAAAAATGGATCCTGATCTTAGTTTGACACAGAAGGTATGTCATCTACAACATTTCATCAAGGACTCTTTTTGTTTAGGTAACAATGCTACTAAGAACAGTTACTGAAAGACCTTATTATATGATGACTGAAATTGCAGAGATATTATATGTCTGTTGTACTTCTTAGTATCCTTCTTGTGGTATATTATTAGATTTTAAGGTCTTGTGTATGCAGTTGAAGTATGCCTTCTTGCAGTCAATTATGTTGCCATATTTCCATGTAATTGGACCCCTGTCACTTGACTTTTTCTTTTCAGTATTTTCCTTCTCTACTTTTAGGTGTTCTAGTTTTGTCTGTTTTGTGTTCTTGAACTTTTGGAAGCAAGGTTTCTAAAGATTTGATTTTGTTTTCCCATCCCCACTTAATCCCCAGGTTCTTCACTTGAAGCTGTCTTTCACTCACAACATGAGAACAGCTGTACTAGAATTAGTGCAATAGATCCTTAGCAATAGTGAGCAAGAGGTATTGAGGGAAAGACTGCGGTGAAGTGAACTTTGTGACAGTGCCAACAGCCTATAGTTTCGGGATTTGAGGAGCCAGGCTTGTGTCCAAATCCATTTAATTATGCTTCCTACTCCTGCCTTCCATTAATTTGCCTGTTTTTTTGAAACCACCCATTTATGTTTTTGGCATCTGCAAAATCCTGTAGTGAGTTCTGCATTTAGAAGCTGAATGAGGCAGAGTCAGGAGTTCTGTGGATGACTGTTACTGGAGCTCAGAATTTCTTAGATAAACTATGAGAGTGGAAACAGAAATCTGAGGCTGGTTTCTTGAGTTTGTTTTAAACTGTGAGGCAATTTCCAAGACTCTGCATTGGCTGCGCGATTGGAGAGAAATAAAAACATTTAAGAAATTTTCCATTGCTTCAAGCTTGCTGGCATATTTGCTAGGTATAGTTGAAGTGGGTTGTTTTCCACCTTCTTTTACGCAGCTTTTCCTGTTCTGTGTGCTCCAGGCTATCGTTTTCCAAACTTGATAATATGTACTCATAGCTGTTATACTACCATTGTTCTCCTCAGATTTTGCCTGATGATCCAGATAAGAAACCCCAGGCAAAACAGTTACAGACCCGTGCAGACTACCTCATTAAATTACTGAATAAAGACCTTGCAAGGAAGGAAGCACAAAGGCTTGCTGGTGCCGTAAGTAAAATTTAGCATTCATTAGTGAGATAAAACAATATTCTTGTGGGCATGTCAGCTGATCCTTTTCTTTTTCTTTTTTAGTTCTGCTCTTTTTCTTTGTGTAGTATTACTCTGTATTGCTAATCATATTATGAGATTAACTCAAGAAATTAATTGCAAGTTTTATATTATATTATTCTCTTATTATTTGTATGTATTCCCTACTGTTGCACTATGCTCTGTCTCCAGTCCTGAGAAAAGTGGTGGTCATAGTGGCAATAAATAAAATAAAATGAACCCTCTATTTGATGTAAAAAAAAAAAAAAAAAAAAAAAATCTGTTTTTGCAACTGCCATGCAAAGATGCTTGTCAGTTGACATATTAATGAGACCAATTTGCATTCAGGGCAATTCAAAGAGGAGGAAAACAAGAACTAAGAAGAATAAGGTGATAAAGGCTGCAAAAATAAAAGAAGAAATAAAAAGTGATTCTTCGCCACAACTCTCAGAAAAATCTGATGAAGATGATGATGAGGATGACAAGGTAAATATCTTTGATATGGTAAAGGTGGCCATTCCGTTCTTCCTGTTAGTATCGATTTCTATTTTATCTTCTGATTGACTTAATAAAATTGAAGCACTTGAATGTCATCCTTTTTCCTGTGGCCCCTATAATTGATGTTGCATCAGTACAAGCACATGGACGACTGTATCTGTTTTAATTTAATGATAAGCCAGTAGCTGAGGAATGATGAATGGTTTTCCAAATTATATTATACAAAAATGTTGTGGTCTAATTACAAGTGGCATTGCTCAGATTCAGCATTCTTTAAAGATTTCAGCATTGTATCTGCTAGAAATGTAACAAAAAAATTATAAAACTAATGTTTCTGGCTAATTGTGTTATTACTACTGACAGTGATTCTTCAGGTTAAGTTTTTTGTTCAGGCTCAGGAAAAACACATCAAGCTCAGTTAGAATGAGCAGCATGAAGAAATGGTATTTCAAGACTTGCATGTGAAAGCTATATATGGCATGGCTTTCATTATCCAAAAAGACTATTTAACCAACTATTTAACTTTGTCGTGTTCTGTTACTTCTGATGTGTTCCTTTAGGCCTTTGGTTTTGTTGGGTCTTTTTATGTCTAACATTTATCACACAGCAGAAACCACTAGAAAGAGAAATTTAGGTGAAGTTTAGGGTGATGTCACACCTAATTTTATTACTTTGAAAGTAGATGAAGTAAATCAGTGCAGATCTATACATATCATTAAAATACTAGTTGGTTTAAAATAAACTGAATTGGAGTGTCTTATGTAACCATTTTAAACTATTACAAACCATTGTAATTGTCAACTCACTCTAGATGAAAAAACTTACACAAATACGTAGTTAAAACTGAGTCAGCCTTAGAAGGACCATGATACATCTATAAAAATAGTAATTTTTAACCAAAGCGTTCCTATATGTATTTAAATTGTACTATGAATAATAAAATGTAAAGCCAGAAAAAAAGTAAAAAACTTTGAATGTAGACTGGCTTATATTTATAGACACAATAATTTTTCTGGAATATAAGACTAAGAAGTTTAAGTGTTGTCAGTGTAAGTGTTCCCAGTAAATTAACATGGGCAACTGAATCCTAAAACTAAGTAAATTAAGTGTTCAGACTACTTAAAAAAATTAGTGTTAGACTCATCTCCACTCTAAATGGAAGACGCTGCCAATCAGTTGATTGATTTGTTACGTTTTGCAAAAGTGCCTAGAATGCTGTCCCATTTCGCATATTTAATAACAGATATTCATCACTTCAATACTTTCGGACACGGGCTAAGAATTGCACTTCTGAAAACTAGACTATATACAAAAATGGGCTTTAACCACCTAAACAGTTGGCTTTAGCTATTTAGCTGCCATACTGTGTGCAATATTTAAAACTTATGTATTTAACTGCTAAAAACACGCAGGAAACTTGAAGTCATTCAATTTTCCTGGGAAATTTCTGTGATACCTAAATACTGAAGTCCTGGGCGGGCTGATTACTTGATACCTCATCTAAGTAACTTGTTAGGATTCATGTATTAGGCATTCTTTCATCTGTTTTTCTGCAATGGAATCTATATATGTTTTTCCAGGGGTACTTCAAATCAGTTCAAAGATGATAATAATTCTTGCACCTATACATAATACTTTCGTTACTTACTATAGTATTTTTCTGTGTCCGAAAGGATTTGAGTTTCCATCTCAAACCTTCTAAGTTAATATTATAAAGACCAGTGGAGTGGTATTTTGGTCACCTTCAAATAATTAAATGGTCCCCTATCAGACAATCTGTAACTAAGACGTGTTTTTTTAAGCCCAGTAAAAAGAACACCTCTGGAAAAGAGAAAGTTGGGACTTTGTTACCTTCTCCTGTGAATGTTTAATACAGGATTGATAAGTTAGTGGGACAAAGCTAACTAGAACAGAGGTCTTCTAACATCCCATCACTTGAGTGTCCTGACCAATCAGCTCAGTTTTGCGAGACCTACTTCCTTACAGTTTTTAGCTCTTCAGAGCCTGACTACCTTTAGAGGGACAGAATTCTAAGTTAATTCTAAGTTAAATGGACATAATTTCTTACCCCCACTACTGCTGCCAAATCAGTACTTGCTTTGTCACATCAAGGAAGTAAGTGAGTAGTTCTCATGTTTCTTTACAACTGCATTAAGTTCTATTTGATAGGTGTTAAATCTATGTCCAAAAAGAAAAAAAAATGCAAAGATAAAAAGTATGTTTTAATCTGATGGTTAACAAAACTTGTATAGATAGGAACTCAGTTTGATGTGACATATATGCTTGCGTATTGCAGGATGAGATTGTTTCAGTGAAACATCCACATAAAAAAATTAAAGCAGAAAAAGAAAATGAAGAAAAGCCTGAGCCAGATATTGGTATAAAGAAGGAAGCTGAAGAAAAAAGAGAGACAAAAGAAAAGGAAAATAAGAGGGATTTGAAAAGGGAGAAAAAAGAAAAAGAGGATATAAGAAAGATAAAAGAAAAAGATATTAAAGAAAAGAGAGAAAACAAAGTAAAAGAATCCACACAGAAAGAAAAAGAAGTGAAGGAAGAGAAGGTAACTAGGTTTACTTATCTTATATAGCACTAGAAAAGGCCACTAGGTTTTTGTGAATGATTTTGAGATGAAAAGGTATTTTGGATCTGATCAGTTGTCATTTCACTGAAGTCTTTGACATCATTTGAAGTTTTTATTTTTACTACCTGAAACCATGAGGACAGGCATATGAAATGGGAAATTAAGTCTTCAGTGATCTGTATCTTAGTTGAACTGAGAGTAGAAGTGTGTGCAAGAAATCCTTTTATTCCTTTTCCATTCTCCTTTTCCATCCCACAGAGAAAGTGAAATGTACTGTCATTGAATGTCAGCATAGTTTTTATTCTTACTATTGAAGAGAATGTGGTAGTTACGGAGATTGTTGTAGGATAATTCCAGAGCCAAAATAAAGTTTACTTAAATATTTTTATATCTTGTTCTTAGGTAAATGAAATCAAATCTGAAAATAAAGAAAAAACTAAAAAAATTCCATTGTTGGATACTCCAGTTCATATTACTGCAAGTAGTGAACCAGTTCCTATATCAGAAGAATCTGAAGAACTGGATCAGAAAACTTTTAGTGTGGTAAGTCCTTTTTTGATAAGTTAGTGGTTATACTTGGTAGTCTAAATGAAGACAATTTCTGATGTTCTTGATTCTGTTATTGGGTGCAGTAACACAGGTGATCTTTTGCTAGTAAAGTCTCAGATCAATGAATGCTATTGACACTGTACTAAAGTAATTTTTGTCTTCATTCCAGCAGTTTTATTTTGTTGTTTACTGTATTTATGCAAGATAGTAGGAAATCTTATCCAGTGGTCTGTGTGCTGAATAGATTCAGGATATAGACTGTAAAGATATATCCTCAAGAATAACTTGTGTATCCTGCTTCTTAAAGAGCAGACATGAATGAACTTCAGTGCAATTGCTGGAGTCTCTGGCTTCATCGTACCATACATGCTTTTTATTCTTGTAAGATAACAAGAGAAAATAAGTTTCAGCACTTCCCTCCTGAAGTATTGCACACTTAAATTAGTAGACACAGAAAGGAACAAACGCTAAAGCCTTTAGAAATACCTTGCTGGAGTAATCCCTCTGACACCAAAAGAATTTCATTTAATTAATCATTACTTCTGACTAAGAACAGAATCAATATTAGAGGAAAAAAGGTACGTACACGCAATTTATGTAAAATTTTGTAGGTCGGCTGCGGCCTTTGGAAAAGTGTCAATGAGTTAGTTGGAGCAGCCACTTTCCTGTGGGTGTTTCGTCATTTAGATTTCAAGAGTTGTTTGTTTCTGCCAGTCAGGTTTATTGGGGCTGTTATGGGTGCTGGCTGTAACATGCAAGTAAGATTCTCTTGAGTATGGCAGTGACTGGTCTATCTATGGGTTTGTTCTGAACATTCCAAGTAACTCACTTGTGACTTGCAGGATCAGCCTTGAGTGATTCAGGTGTGGCTAAGTGACAGAAAATCACTTTATTTCCATGTACAGTTATATTTTTCTGACCACTTCTATACTTAAGCAGGGTACTTTGTAAGCTTGCTTTAAAAGGCTGCTTTAAGCTGTAGCTAATGCAATATGTAATGCAGCTGCTTAATTACGTAGAGGCATGAGCTGGCAATGGAACAGCTTCCTTGATATGTCTGAGTTGTCCCTAAATGCTTACATGGTAATGGTGATATTCCATTTCATTCCATTCCAAACATTTATTTGGTTTTTAAAATTTTGTTTGTTTGGTTTGTTTTGGTTTGTTTTGGTTGTTGTTTTTTTTTTTTTACCTGCAGACTTCCTGTTGTTTTTACTGGGAGTAATTCGAGGTTGGGTCTGTGTATAGAACAAAATATTTTTTTGTCCAGGCTTTTTTTTCTGGAATATATGTTCATCATTATGCCATGGTCAGATGCAGTCTAATTAGCATATTTAACTACACTTTCAAATGGAAATTACTGCTGTGGGTTGTTCAGGCTCAACTAATCTGTCTCTTTGTGACAAGGAGAATATGCAATTCATCTGTTCACTGTGGCATTGTAGTTGGATGATATTCCTTAGCAAGTGTGTGTAATTTAAGTCATGTTAACTGGTTTTATCTGGATTTATTATTAAAACCTTTGATTCAAAGTGTGAAAATTCAAGAACACACGTATAACACATCTTTGTTGCCATCATTGTTATTACTAATCTAGGCATACCCAAACTAGCTTTACTCTAGATAGCACAAGTTCTGCTAGTGACTGAGGTTTAAGAACTGCTCAGAGAAGCAATATTGATTCTCTGCTGAATGCCAGGTTTAATTGTTGCAGAAAGTATCTATTTGAAATGTATCGAACACTCTCATATTTAATTTTGACATAGAGTTTGTGTAGCTTTCAAGGTGCTAAAAAGTGTAAGTATTGTCCTATACGCTTGTGCTGAAAGTTGCATTTTCTAGCTGGGTTTAAAATACAACTTCTTCCAAAAGAAAGCTGTAAAATGTTTTTAAGAGCTGTGAGCAAGTCTTGTGCTTCATTTGGCTTTTAACAATACTGTCTTTGCCTCTGTGGGTGTGTGTGTATATATATATATATATCTCACAGTAAAGGGTGGGTCATGTTTTAGAATTCTTTTTTTCTTTGAATTAATACATTCCTTTTTTCCATTTTACAGTGCAAAGAAAGAATGAGGCCTGTCAAAGCAGCATTGAAACAGCTGGATCGACCAGAGAAGGGCCTTTCTGAAAGAGAGCAGCTGGAACACACCAGACAGTGTCTAATCAAAATTGGGGATCACATTACTGAATGTCTAAAGGAGTACACAAATCCTGAACAAATTAAACAGTGGAGAAAGTAAGTTATTCTCCTTGTTTTTTCTTGAAAAATGAAAATCTATAATTGCTTCTATCAAGCAGAATAGTTTTTAATTATTTCCCTAGTTTCTTATTCTCCCTTTCTTGTATCTTTCTGCTGTCTTAAATAGGAATCTATAAAAAGATACTTACAGATGGTGCTGACTTTTAATGGATTGACTTTTTCATACTGAATAGCAATGCATTTTGTCCAGTAGGTGGAGTCATCTCACTTACAACTGACAGCAAACACTAGAGAACTTGTTACTTAGACTGTGTTTAGTGGAAAAGCATTCTTACCTTTAAGGATCTGGGTTTTTTTCAACTTTGAAGTTGTTTGTGTGTTGTTTTGTTTTTTTTTTTTTAATTCCTGCTAAAAATAGGCAGTTCTAAATTTGTGCTAAACTTTGTATGATTTTGAGTTGCAGAATTCTTTATTCTTTTTAAAATATACTCTAAAATTAAATTATGTATTACATATTAACTATGACTTGATAAAAGTATTTGTCATAACATACTCAGGTGTATTTCAAAAATGAAAGAAGAGTTTATGTCTTCGAGGTGACAATTTTAAAAAATTAAGAAAAATTGTTAGTTTGTAAACTTACATTTCATTGTTAAGTTCCTAATGCAATTTGAGTTACCTTTATCAGAATGTGCACTTTAATATTTTGTGGTTGAAAATACATCCTGCACTTCCATATACACAAGTCTGTTAAGTGTTTCATTTTCTTGAAGACTTCTGTTAGTGTAGAATGCTTCTGCTGCTTTTATGTTGCTTTACTTCAAAATATTAAGGTGATCTGAGATACAAAACCAAGATCCATGTTTTACATTTTGGTAAATGTTGTATTTCTTCAGGTGGAAACTCATAATAGAACTACTATTCATAATAATGTTACAATATTATACGTAGATTATTAAAATATGTATTTCAGCTATCTTTGATAAGAAGTGTAGTTAAGCTACTTAGCTTAAAGTTATATATAAAGTTATACAGGTGTCATTAGGCACACCATTGAGTGGTTGTCTACTTTTGCAAACCTCTAGACCAAAATTACAATGTTTAAATAATGTTTAAATAATCACAGTGAAGGAGCAGACTGTTGCTTCCTGAGCCTGCACGCTTCAGATACTTCTGAACACTGGTATTCTGTAGTCTCTTTTAAGCATTCCACCTGTAAATTTGACTAAAAGAATTCTAGACTTTAGATCTATTACCTGTGATCATAAAAGCAAATGTTTTCTTCAGGGTTTTGTCATCTTGACAGCAAAAGTCTCAATTTGTTCTTCTTTCATTTCTTCCGGCACAGATTAGGCACAAATTTATTGTCATGCCACTTCCATCCTCTTTCACAGTTCTCATCTGGTTTCAAAAGTTTTGACCAGGCTTTGGAATTCTGTGGGAAAATTCTCTCACTGATATTTTAATGAAATAAGGCTTGTAGGTCAAGTGTCTTAGACTGTAAGAGATTTCAAGGTTTTTTTACTTACTTTACTTGCTTAAATTTTTATTTACTGAGTGGTAAATACTTAAAATTCAAATAAACTTTCAGAAGATACATATAAACTGATAGCTACATTTTTAAGCAGTTTCACAAATTATTCTATTAACACAGTTGTTATTAGTACTACTTCCCATGCACTTTGCACTCTGAAGTACTTACGATAAATATTACAAAGTGACAAATCATTAAAGGAATTAATCTTTCAAATGTTTGAAATACAGCTAGGTAATGTTTGCTGTGCAGCTAGGCAATACTGTGTAAATTTAAGTGTTTCTGGTTTACTGAAGTACTGTTCAAATAATTTCAGTTTAATCCATGTTCTGTTGCATAATGCAAGAAAAACAAATGTATAGAGGAATTATAACTTCTCTTTTCTTCTTCCTCAGAAATTTGTGGATTTTTGTCTCTAAGTTTACAGAATTTGATGCCAGAAAGCTGCACAAACTGTATAAACATGCAATCAAAAAACGCCAAGAGTCTCAGGTAATGTTTTCAGACCCTTTCTAAATACACAAATATATATTTTAAGTATTATAACTCTTTTATCAGATTTAAAGGATTGTAAGGAACACAGAAATACACTTCAAGTAGCATTTGTGTTTTTAGTAAAGTAGTCTCTTTTGTTAGGGTATTTTTCTAATGAATTCAGATGAACTTTGGGATTTAGCAATGAGTTTTTGTACTTGTCTCTTTTAGCAACACAATGACCAGAATATTAGCAGCAATGTGAATACACATGTAATTAGAAATCCAGGTAAGAAACCTTGAGTATATTCTTGTGTTAGATATCTTAGTTTTCATGTTTATTTCATGTCACATCTCTCCTAGATCTGTCTCCCACACTGCTAAGTATCAGAGAGATACACTGATTGGCAGAACTTTACTTGTTTGCTGATGAAATCCAGCTGAGTGCAGACTGAAACTGGTACTTACTAGTTTTAGTAGCAAGTTATTTGACCATCTTTTTAAAAAATTTTGGAAGCATTTTTTGTGTTTGATTTTGGGAGTGAGAGAGGTCTACTCAAAACCTATAAATTTCTTGGAAATTCTGTGCCCTCTTGCAGCTTTGTAATGTCACTACCATGTAAGAAAGCAAGCTATTCCTTGAAGTCATAGTTTGTAATGAGTTACATAGGCTGTCTTTTATTGTTGACAATAACACTGATTTCTCTATGCTCCCTCACCTGCCTTGTCATAATACTTGCTTTTATCTTGTGTTATGTAACACTTTGAGTATATTTTCATGGACTTAAAAATCAACATTTTGTCTTGAAAGTCGTTCATTAACAAGGTGTACCTTTAAAACTTACTCATGCTAAGGCCACCCCTTCTTAGAGAGGAAGTTGCTATCATTCTGTCTAAAATTGCTCTACTAAAAGCACCCCTACTCACTGCTCATTTGGACCACGTTTGGCTTCACAGACTGAATGGAGAGGTTGAAAAGTTCAGTTACCAAGTCCTATACATCTACATTCTAGCTTGCTTCCCTCTTACTTCTGGGTTTCTTTCAGTTCACTCACACTAGTGCATTTGTCTTTCAACTATTTAGCTCTCGTTTCTGTCAAATTATAATGTCACTTTCATATGGCTTTACATCTGACAGGTTGAAGTGCTGTTTGAATTAGGTGAAGAAAAGACTTTATGAGACTTCCTTTTAACTTGTGCTTTATTAAACAGATGTGGAAAGACTAAAGGAGAATACAAACCATGATGACAGTAGCAGGGACAGTTATTCTTCTGATAGACATTCTTCACAATACCACGATCATCATAAAGACAGGCATCAGGGAGATGCTTACAAGAAAAATGACTCTAGGAAAAGGCCCTATTCAGCCTTCAGCAATGGAAAAGATCACAGAGACTGGGATCACTACAAACAAGACAGCAGGTGAGTTTCTTCAGCAATTTAAAAATCTCTTCAGAATTCCCTTCTTGCTTTTGTAGTGTGTGTAGCAAACACCAAAACATCTTTTTAGAGTAATGCAAAATTGCAAAGATACCCCTCTAATGCAATTCTGTTGATTTGACATAATTGTGGCTCTTAATGTGTGTTCAGTAGCACTAATACAAATAATTTCTATTTTATAGATACTACAGTGATAGTAAACATAGAAAGCTAGATGACTACAGGAGCAGAGACCACAGGTCAAACCTGGAAGGAAGTTTAAAAGACAGCCGGGCTCATTCAGATCACCGTTCCCATTCAGACCACAGGATACATTCAGATCACCGTTCCACTTCAGAGTACAGCCATCATAAGTCTTCTAGAGATTATAGGTACCACTCAGACTGGCAAATGGACCACAGAGCTTCGGGTAGTGGCCCAAGGTCACCGTTAGATCAGAGGTCTCCTTATGGTTCAAGATCTCCCCTAGGACACAGATCTCCATTTGAACACTCATCAGATCACAAAAGTACACCTGAACATACATGGAGTAGCCGGAAAACATAACGAAGACTGACATTTTTTGGACCTTCTTTTAGCCATATACAGTAAACTAACACAGTAATTGCCTTACATGACTTGAAAGATACGGACTGGATATTCTATCAGTAGCAGTATTGTTACTTCTTTCCAGGATGCAAGGTCTATTAACCCAACAGAAGAAAAATATTTTTGTATTTAAAGTTTATGCTGCACTGTGCTGCAAATGTTGCGGCACTCTTTTTTTAAGAAATGGAAGATGTTTACTTTTACAGGGACCTCAACACTGCCCCTTTCAGACTGGATCTTACTATAAAACTCTTCATGTCAAAGTGATTTCAGGCTGAACACATTTTAAATTATGTTTGTAAATGAACTTTTAAACACTGACCTGTGCTCATATTTCAGGAAGTAATGAGGAGTTTATTTTCTTTTGTTTCTTAGTAAAGAACTCTCAAGGACTTTGTTCACTTTCCAAAGCTACTTGTTTACATTGTACACTGCGACCACCTTGCCGCTTTTCATCACAAGCTTGAATATTTAAATTCTGTACCTATAACTGTAAAATAGCCAGGATTTCTCCTGTTTGTGATCAGTTATAATGCCTTTTTACAAAACAAACAAACAAAAAAATAATAATAAAAAAACCTAAACACACAAACAAATGGCTGTAAATTATTGTAAATTAATTAAATGAGCTTTTTTCCCTCTCAGGCTTTTTCTGACTGTTCCTTTCCCCACCAACTCAGGCCTTCTTGTCACGAAGTATGAAACAAAATCAGTGTACTTAAATGTTTTAATAAAGTATCTTGATGGAATCACTGTTCAGAACGTAAAAATGGGGAAAGGGAACATTTTATTCCATTTAGTCCTCCTTTTTTTACTGGATACTTTAGATACATGTTTTGGTTTTTTGGGGGTGTTTCTGTGGGTTTGGTTCACCACCACCACCCCATTAAACTGTCAGTGTTGTGATTGTTTGTAATGAAATGGTAAGAAACATCCAGCTAAACTGTGCTCTGGAAAGTTTTTTCAGGTGCATTGGTTTTAAAGAAGGAATGTTAAATATCTGAACGTTTCAGAATCCAAATCAGCCAAAATGTATTGTAAATCCATCTGTGTTCCCTCTTCAACATGGGCAATAATGTCAAATGTGCTATGCAGCCAGTTAATATTTTAGAAGATTTGAATGACTTTATTGACAGAATTGTTACAATGCACACTGATTGTACATAGATAACTTCTATCTGACAAATTAAATTTAAACTAAAAGGATATGTGGGCTCTTTGTAGTTTTCTGCTGTTTTTTTCTACAGCGTTACTTTTTCTCAGGTTTACCCATAAAAACATTAAGTTCTTAAGTACTATATTTTAATACTCAATGTGATAATTAGGAAAGATATCTAGCTTGGCATCATGTGGTTGGAGCTTTATCTGTTGCTCCAGTTTTTCTCTGCTCTTGCAATGTTGAGCATTTTTTCCAATTAAACAGGTTTATATGAAGGCATGAATACAGAATGAGAATTTGTCTGCAGAGTATCTGTTAGGATCTCACTGTAGGCATAGTTGCTGCACGTTAAGTTTCTTTAATGTAGGCTGGGACTCAATTAATGCTGCTTCATTTCTTAACTCTTCATCTTCCCAGGGGCTGCTGGAGGGTTTTGAGTTGCTCTGGTTTTAAGCTTAATTGCTGAAGCAGTTTTTAGGCAGTAGAGTGGTGTCTGATAAGGTTGTGCATGTGTGCCATGCATCTTCTGCTTGCAGTGGTGAAAATCTAGAAGTTGGAGCATCTCCAACCACTGACTGACTCTTACTGCTTGAGTAGTGCATATATCCATTAATAGAGCACAGAGAGAGCAGTCCCACTAAGCCTGGTTCGCCATCAGTGTAACTGTATTACGGCATTGTGGCTGAGTCTGATGTGACATGGTTAGTCTGCATCTGTTTTTGTTAAAAGTATCTCAGGTCTCCAAAACAAACAAGACAGAAAATAATTACCTGGTGGCTTTGATGATTAGGATCTTTGGCAATTAGTCTACTTAGGCTGTATTAAATTCAATCATATTTACAGATTTACAAATCACATTTGCAACAGTTTAATTTTTTCCCCCTCTGGTTTCAATTAAGTCTTAAGTATAAAGTTTGGTGAATATTAGCCTCCATTGCTTATGAGGCTGACTGTTAAGGTGTATCTTACTATTTAGAAGAATCCCCGTATCCTCTGCAGATAAGCCATTTATAATTCATTTTCAATGCACACAGATTTGATCCTTCTTTTGTTCATTTGTAATGAAAGGTTTTCCAGGAGTGCGTCCAGTTCCGAAGCATCTATCAGATAATAATGTTGCCTGTCCGTAAGAGGTTTGGGGAAGTAATAATTCTGGTGACTGCTTGTTGATAAAGATTCATGTGTTTCATCTACCATGCATGAAAGTCTAAGATCTCCATCTTAATCCTGTTACGTATTTATAGTCTACAATTCCCAGTACTACCTAAAAAAAGTAGGTTGTTGGTCAGTCTGAAAAAGCACATTAAAAAAAATGTATTGCTGCTATTAATTTTAAGGACACAGAAATGCATACTCTGACATTGCCATTAGTTCATCAGCTGCTGTGTTGGCATCATCATTTACCTGCTCACAGTCTGTGTTTTCCCCATTTTGATCTTCAGTGCGGATGTCCTGGTGTCTGAGCAGCACTCGAACAGCTTCTGGTTTCTGAGAGCCTGTTACTACTATCAAGAACAGGACTTGCAAAGGATTCAAGCACTAGCCACATATGGATGGCAGTTTCTGCAGAAACATGATGCTCCTATAAAAGGACTGTGCGCCAGCTGCCCTTTGAGACATGGACTGCACAGTGACCTGGAGCACTGACTCCCTAGGCTGAATACCTTTGATGCCTGTCTTCCTTCTTTTTGGAGCTCAGTTGGCTTGTTTTGTCCCTGTATGATGTTTTGTTACCAACAAATGGATCTTGTCACCTCCACAGCCCTTACTGTTTAGCTGCAGGTTTCCCATTTAACGTGTAAAATCCCAGTGAAGTACTCTCATAGTGATGTATTTTAAGGAGCTGTTTCAATCTCCAGTGTTATGTTTAGTGTTGTGTTCAACAACAAGAGGGTTTTTTTGGTAGGAAATTACCTCACCATTACTTGGCAAGGTGGGCAAGACTGAAGACACTAAAGGAGATCATACTGATACAGCTTTTCTTCCTGATGAGACATTTTATTGCAAGTTTCTTCATGATCAAAGTTTATTTGAACAGCAAATTAATTAAATCCTAGCTTCTTTTTGTGTACTATGGCTGAAATGAGGTCCTCTCATTTTTACCTTTACAGAAATAAATGTAGGCAGTCTCTTGCTTCTGTTAGAGCAGTGAAGTCTATTAAAATAGTTAACACTTAGTATGAGTCATCCACTTGTAGTGACCAAGGTTTGTTTTTCTGACTTGTGTTGGGACAGATATGTAGTGCTGTCACTTGTACCCCTTCATTCTTCCAACAAGCTACTATGATTGCACCTGAAATTTAAGCTTTGTTCTTCAAACTTTATGCTGAAGCTTTTTATTTGTGAAATGCTCCAGAAGCAGTAGCTAAGAAATACAATTGTGTGAGACACCGCTAGGAGCAGAAAGAAGAGGTTCATGGAATTTGTTATTTGTTTCTCACCCTTTTTATTTTTCTCTGTAGTCCAATTCTTCTTAAGATACAAGTTGAGAACAAAAGACTAATGGGGAGCACGTTCTGGTCCACCTATCCTTATACTCTTACACTGTATGGGGTCAGCGAAAGGTCTTCCTTTGGATATGGCCAATACTAGAACAAAGAATGTTTCTAGCATGTGTTTTCCAATTCCCTAGCCCTACTAATTTATGGTAGGGTTTTTTTTTTTTTTTTCCAAAACTTCTAACAAGTGAAAAATTGCTTTGAGGTAAATAATGACATTTAATGATGATCACTAATTTGCATTAAAAAGTAAGAATTGCCATTGTCCCGTTGAAAAGAAAATAACTATTTCTAGACCTAACATACAAAGAAAATAATTCTGCTTTTTTAATTATTTGTAACATCTTCATAAGCCTATTGTGGAAGCTGTTTACTTTGTTTCACACTCTAAAGCTGAGTCAGCATTAGGCTTTTGATTTGTCATAGAATCGTTAAGGTTGGAAAGGACCTGAGATCGAGTCCAACCATTAACCTGCCTGGTCCACCTCTAAACCATGTCCCTATTTATATCATATCAATACAATTCCCACTTAAAATATAGCAGCAGAATAATTTTTTTTTTTTAAATCTTAGATATTTGTTCATATTCTGTATGATATATATTGTAAAAAAAATTGAGGGAGACCTGTTGTTTTACAGAAAAGTGGTAAGTCCTGGTCAAGTGTGTAATTTTCAGTTTATTCCAAAACTTCATTATTTACATGAACGGATAAATACAGAAAGTTTGCACGCGTATGTTGTGGATTATCAAGACTGTACTTCGTATTTGTTTTCTTCCATTGTATCATATGACTTATCTTCATGAATCTTAGTCATTCACAGGAAGTAAACTGAGCAACAGTCCTTTGAGATACATAAATGCTATCTGGATTTTATGAAGAAACTTCAAAGCGATTAATTATAGTTCTATGTTTACTCAACACCCAAGATCTAACTGTAACCCCAAACTACTTAGTCCAAGCATGATTCATTACAGTATGTCTTTTATTCCAGCTATAAGGAAAAATTAGCCACATAATCCTATACAATAATATACATGAATTGTACGTGAGGTGGGTTAACTTGGTTAACTGCTTAATCTTTCTGTAACGTGACCCACAACCTTTGGCCACAGCAAGTAACGTGGCCTCATATGGAAGTTCCTGTGCACCTGGACCTCTCTTCCATTATGGGAATAACATAGAAGATACCTCTTGCGCATATCATGGATGTATCAATAGTCAAGCAGTGGTGGTCTATTTCACCTAACACTCCTAAAGTGTTTCCTTGGCAGCATATGTTATCTTTTACATGATTGAGTATAAAGAAGACACTGATCAATTTGCCTCCCATCCCATGACCACAAAGGACCGTGCAGCACTTTAAGCAAAGGGCAGTAGGACACAGACTGCCAGAACAATTCATACGTTGCACAGGTCAATCTTGGGCCACATTTGAAGGGCCTCTAGTAAAGAAGTCTGCAAGGGATGGGCCAGGGGCCAGATCTGGTTGGCAAACCACAGCATGGCCACATTCTTACTGAGAAAATTAATCCAGCTGTACCAGCTCTATTCTGGAATTGATTTGCAAATGTTTAATACAACATAATGCCTTTTTGTGTGAAGGTTGTAAATGAAAGCCAGTGAAAATACACACTGATGACTAAAGCCATATGAAATATTTTTCTGTTTAGGATTTCCTGCCAAAAATATTAATGCTAAACTTGAGCAAATTGGTGTAATTGCTGTAATTGTGAGAGCTGGGCATTACCACAGTTGATCCTGTATAGTTAGAGGTACCATATTTGCACCAACAAAAAGGAGGGCATTGCTAGAAGGATGACAGTCTTACAACTGTGTATGGGGTGCCTGGCTACACTTTGTGGGGAAGTTAGGTGAGTGTGTATTTCTTGGGTGCCAGGCAAGTGATTGTTGGGGAGATGGTGCCCCAGGGTACTGCCAGTCCCTCTGACCCCTACTATTCAAACATGCAGTATA